CCACGAAGTCCCAGCGAAGAGTTTCTCAATGTGCACCCCTTGCTTGGTACTGAAAGAGACACCGTTGTCATAGGGGCGGACCACTGCACTCCCTGAGTTCCTGGACTTTGGGAAGGACCATTTTAGAGGCGAACAAACAGTTCAGGTTTTTTTGGCCAATCCGCTCAGGATGTGAGACACCCAAAGCACCCTCTGAGAGAGTTTCAGTTGTCCCAGGTACGTCTACGCGCTTTTCGGGTCCCAGAGTCGCGACATGAGCCGCGCTTAGAGAAACGCGGGAGCCGTGCCATGATGATCTGAAGGGTTTGGAATGACCCTGCGAACCAGAAACCTTGGGACCAAGATTCAGCAACCGGTTCGGTCCCGTTTGGGGCTTACTCCCGGTTAAAAAGCAAAGAACGCCGGGCGATTTGTTGGGCTGGCCATTGTTTGGGGCCTCTTTTTGTTTTAAGACTGCGATCTGATGGGGCCGTTCCAAAATTGTTTCATCCTTGGCGTGTTGGCAAAAAGTGCGGTTCTCTGCAGGCCGCCACTGGAAATGGACAGATTCGAGAGCAACCGCAAAATAAGCAGCAACTCGACAACCACCTTTCAGGCCTTAAGTCGCCACCACCCTATTTGGTGGCTTGGTTGGCCATGAGCTCCCCACCTAAACGCCGTGATTTGGACCGAGAGGTGCCCTATGCCAGCGGACACCAGCTTTTTAATGAAGGCGATCGATCGGTGTGTCGAACTGGGACGATGGGACTGCTCAGATGGTTGGCTGTCGGTTTGTTCTGTGGGTTCCCTTTAAGCCACCTTTCTTTGCCCTCAAAAAAAAACACAAACAGGCAGACAGAGATTAAACCAGAAAAGCAAGCAAGCAAAGCCAAGCCAAGCCAAGCCAGGCCAGCAAGAAAGCACGTGCAAAAAGGGTGGGCTGAATGGGACTAGCTTCAAAAGGGGTTCACCATCTTACACACCGCTTGCATCATGTTGCAGCCACTTTCATAGCATTTGAGGCCGAGGGTCGCAGCAATTCCACAAACAATGAGCCACTAAACTTAAGCCACAAACCAGGGGCACCGAAAGATGAGCTCGGATATATGAAGACAAAGACAAACACCTGCGTAACCCCAGTTGCTGAAATTTGAGCCACACGCGGCTCGGTGTCCAGTCCCAAAGTTGCGCAGGCCTTTTTGTTCTTCCTTTTTCGTCGAGGGCATGATCAAGAATGGTTGCAACAACCGCACAAACTTGCTCGTAAAGGGAAGCCAAAACTGGAGGTTGTTGAACGTGTTTGGTGATGTTTTTGAACAGGGGATGCAGTTACCCATCCCAGGCGTGTGTTTCTTGGGGTTGGTAGGGATGGTTCTTCTACTCCCATGAAAAGTCTAGATAACCAGAAGGCCGTGTTCAAGGAAGCCATGATTATGGCTGCTGGTTATCTACGGAAGTTCCTCAAAAAGTGGTGGGTGGACATGAAAGCTCAGGTGGGTTCCTTTTGGTCTCCATGAGCGGCCTTGTTCAGGGTGTGGTACCCTGACAACAAGACAAACTAAGACGTGAAGATTAGGGATAGTCCCAAGCAGAAAACAAAGGTGTGGATACCAATAGGCACCCGCCGGAATTTTGCGGGGCACCCCAACAAAGCCATAGGCATAATAGGCAAATGGTTGGGTTTGGAGGAATTTCCTTGCTACAAGAAAGAGGATTTCAATTCCCCAAACCAATCCAAACCACATATAAAGGTCGACGGTCTCGAGTCATAATGAATACTGGTATTCCAAGGGTGGACGTCCATTCAACGTCGCCTTTTGTGGGTGGGGTGCTTAAAAGCCAGACACCTCAATTCGGGTGTGTTTTGGGGAACCCCTTTGTTTGGTTGGTTACAAAGGGGCACCAACAGGACACCAAATGCAAATCAACAGGACACCAACCATTTTGGAAATCCAAGCTCTATTTTGGGGATGACACCCCAAAGGTAGTTTTGACGCCCCCCAATCTCTACCTTTGCCCGGCAGGTGCACCACTGGGTCGTCACTGTGGCCTGTGTGCTCTCGCTTTTTGCCCCCAAGGCTTCGAGTTCGAACGGGAAAACGGGTCGAGGATTTGGGTCCCGAAACCGATTTGAGTGGGTGGTTAGCTTACCACCTGAGGAAGAATGGTAAAGCCTCAAACACGCAACGGGCTTGTCTGGAACATTTTTTTTGGACCCCTTTTGGTTTCCGTTTAAAGCAGCCCACAATGGGTACCCTCCAAGCACTCGTGCAGATCCAACCGCTAAAGTTGATTTTCGGCGACCAAGCTTGTGAAAATAAATCGGACCCTGGCCAACTTAGGGCAACCGAAAGGATGTTTCTATAGAGTTGAACGAAGCCAACCGCTTACGCCGAGTCCAAGGCACAAAAGACATTCCAATCCTAACCACGGGGGTTTGTGTTTGCTCTTCCCTTGGATTTCTCTTCGCTTCCAATCCGGTTCCTTAGGTTTTGGTTGTTTCATCAAAGCCACAAACTTTTCGCCGACCTGAACACGCCCAGATTCGTGGGTCTCGACCCCGGGGGGGTTCCGACGGAGCGTTAAAACAATGATTGGGTCAACCACCTGGATGTTTACCTGAGTTTCATCCAAGCCGTTTTTTGCAATGAGGGTTGAACACTTTCGGAAAAAGGAGTTTCACTGTGCACTTTCCTTTTTCCTCGGGATGGCGTAGATGGACCCATCCTTGTGTCCCTTTCTTGAACCCTTTCAACACCCCCAGCTTTGGGCTTATCTTAAAGGAAGCCCTTCCAAAGCTGAACATGTTGCCAGTAGGATGAAGTGTTTGTTGGGGGCGAGGGAATCAGGAGCACCCAGGGGTTTGTGACACATCCGAGACAGCACCCCACTCAAAGTGAGGGTTGTTGGACCCAGCCGAGAGACACGTCCGACGTCAGGGCTTCGGGCTTTTCATCGCGGGCACCTTTGTCCTGGACGGGTTCAGACCCCTTAGTGCGGGGTAGGCTTGAAACGGATGGGCAAAGGGCAATCAAGAGGACAGGAAACTTGTGGCTGAGTCCCAACTTTGAGACACTGCTACTTCACTTTATGTCCACGAAGCGTGGAAGCGACCCGCTTTGAGCCTGGCAGCCTGAAAACCATCCCTTGGATTTTTGTGGCATGCCTGGCAACGGAGAATTCCAACGTCAGGAGCTTGGCTCCTTGTTCTACAACCTCAGAGTGCTCTATCCAGGCCGCGTGCCCATGCGCACATGCGTTTCCGCCCGACGTGCGCTTTCGCCGGAGGCAATCAACTGATTAACATCCTCTACCAGGTCAGCTCGAGCATGGCGCTTGACCCCTGTGCATTTACTCCTCGATTGACATGGTGCCCCAAGCACCTTCATTTGCAGAGGACTTTTCAGTTAATAGAGTACCCTTGGTTGAGGTTCTTCTGATTGCGGAGTAAGTGCATGTTCTTGCTGGTTCCAAGCGGCCGAGGGGCAATCGCAGGGGTTTGGAGTTTCGGGTAGCGAAACGCGCCAGGTCTGCATGCCCGTGTCGAACCTCGCGGCGCTGGCCGGTGGAGTGTCCAGGGCTCGGAAGTTGAGTTGAGTTGACCCGTGGGCGTTCTCCAGGATGGTTTGGGGTCGTGTTGAAAGGGGGGACATGGTTGAACCCAACCTCAAGAGGTGAAAAGGGGTAATAAAAGCGGTCCCAAAAAGCAGGCTCGGGGTTGGAAAGCAACCCCCCGTTCTTCAATCTGTGAAGCACAAAAAGAGATCTCGCTCACAGGGGAAGCCACACGCAACACTACTCAGAGGTTTTGGAGGGTGTTCTTTTTGGGGGGAGCAGTGTAAGAGGCGAAAGCCAAGAAAAGCCATGTGTTTCAGGGAGAATGCCTCTTTTGGGGTCGAAGAAAGAAGAAAGGGACGCCAAGGGAAAGCAGAGGGTCTCTATCCTAGGAGCAAAGCTCAAGCATGGAATATGCCCAGGCTGCTTCTGAGCATGCCGGAAGTACCACTCTGGATGAAGGCCGTGCTTGAAGCTCCGAAACGCCACTTGAGTGGAGGGTTCGCTCCAGCAAGATTTGGCCTCCGAACAGTGGGGTTCTTCTTTGCAAGACCTGCGACAAAAATGGCACACCAAAACCCGCCCAGTTCTGGAGCCCAGTTCTGCCTTGTGTGATCCCATGGCCACCTTCGGTGAGAGGCGCTCTACTTCACGGCCGACGTGGGGGTTTGCCTTGGCCGCCAGCGCCATGCGCTCAAGGACGGAAATCCGGCCTCCACCGGCTGGGTGGAGGGGTTGGGTGGACGCGGGGCCAAAAGCGCATGGCACACATGGGTCTGGAGGGCAACTATTTTTAAGGCGGGTGAAAAGGAAACCAAGAGATCAAGAGACAACGAAACCCTACTTTGACACGTAAACCAAGAACATGGCGCCAGGATGCTGGGCTGCTGGGAAAGAAGGCCGAATCCGAGCCGCGGACTGGCGAGTCGACTTTGTCGGGGAACTCACAACCTTGCATGTTTTCGCCGCTGAGGGGACGAACAACCTTTGAACGTGGGCAAGCTCCAGCTATGGTTACAAATCACTCACCTTTAAGCACGCGGATTCCTACAGAGCCGTATGACCCATGGGGTGCCGGGCGCATATTTCGTCTTGCCATGTGTGACTTTCGGCTCACAGGGGCGGGTTTCCTATGCCCGCGACCGCCAGCAGGGATCAAAGTCCTGCTGTGTCAGATGGCGGCTCGGCCAAGGGTAGGAACTGGACGACTCAGATGAACATGGCACTGCCGCCCCAAAGCTGGAATCTTCTTGGAGGATCTGTTAATTTTAGTTTAAATACCGCCCTAAACGATATTAACCCGTTTGATACGTGATATGCTGGGCCATGCATCCGCCCAGAAACACAATTAGGGGAGTTCCGGCTGAAGAGGGTATGTGTGCCTTTGTTGACTTGGCACCCTTGATTTGGGTTGTTGGTTGGGGGGTCCATATGCCGCTTGGAGACACTCCGAGGATTGTTGACCGATGACTTCACTCCAATTTTTCCTCGCAGCTTTCTGGGGAGGCTCGCCGGCTCAGACGTGACGATTGAGAGGATGCCCAAGTCTTGTCCCAGGCAAACAAACCTCCCAGCGGCCTCATTTTGATGATCTCCTCTTGGTTCCAATCGGTTCCTTATGGGATATTATTTTTGGTGTTCTTTTTCGGGTTTCCTTCACATTTCGTTTGCTTTCCTTTTTGGTTTCCCACGCCGAGCCAAAGGGGAACCTCGGCAGGTATCCTTATTCGGCCCGCTGCCGGCAACTGGCTTCTGAGACGAGAGGAGCAAACCACCGTCAGCCAGACCAAAGCCTGGGCCTCAGGTCCCGAAGCGCGCCCAGGGGCAGTGGGTCAAAATGAAGCCAAGGAAAGACCGTTGAGTCCTCGGTTCCAGTTGCCAGGGCAAGCCATTTTGGGAGCCCATTTTTGATCCACCCAAAGAGCAGTGGGTTTCACTGGAGCCCAGGCAGACCGTTGTGTGCGCCTGTTTTTGGAGTTGGTGCCCCACTTGCTTGTACAAGGAACGGAAGCCGATTTGGGGGGGCTCCCCCTAAAAAAGACACACCACCATAGACGACCAGCCGACAGAAGTGGAGTCACATCTCTCAGATCTGATCGGCAAGAGCCACAGAAAGGCAGGGGTGTGGTTTCTCCCTTTGAGAATTTGCCATGATTTGGCCTTGCTGGCCTTTTTGGCGGGCCAATCGGGTCCTGTGACCTTGACTCCTTGACGGTTTGCGACTTGACTTGCGTGCCAGGGTTCCATTTGTTGAAGGTGGACGTAAACCAACTCTGCATGAACTTGGAAGGGACATGGAGGAACTCAACAAAGGGTTCCAGCAAAAACCAGGGGACGACTCCTCCATTTTCCATATTTTGGGGAAAGCCTGCAGAATCTTGACTGTGGCTCCATTTTCAGTTTGATTTGAAGCAACAGCAAGGGTCCGTACAAAAAAATGCACACCTTCTCCGGCGCGGTTTGAGGCACTCCCGCCCTGCGTCGACGATGACTATCAAATCGCTTGGAAGGGCCACATCTACCGCACGTTGTACGGAGCTCAGGTGGAGGGTGACACTCCCACCAGCTGCGAGGAGGGCACTGAACATCTCAGGGAGCCCGCAGGGCGCTTTGGATTGGTAGTTTGGTCCTTTTTGGAACCCTGGTTCCAGAGGTGTAAGTTGGAAACAACCACTCCCGGAACACCTCGAAACTACCAATTCCCAATTCAAGCTGAACGCTTGGGTGGCAAACCTGGCTGTGCTCAGGTCCAACTATAGTCTCCCTTGTGGTGGGTTGAAACATCACCTGGTTGGCCCATTGAAGGTTGGTTTCCTTTGTGGGGTAGTGGTGGATGATGTCTTAAGGATAAATGTAGGGACATGAAAGGAGACCAAAAGGAGGCGGTTCAAAGTTCAAGCACTAGTGGTTTGAAGCTAAAGCCATGGTTTAAGCAGTTGTTGTGTTGAAACGACCTCCTGGTGGCTTCCCTTGAAAGGCAATGGCTAGCTGGCTGTTTGTGCCGAATGTTTTTTCCTGCAAAGCCTGGGCAGGAAGCTTCATATGCTAGCATGCCCGAGAACTACAGCGTGGCGCCGGACGAGTCCATCATCGTGTCTCACGTCATCGCGGCGCACAAGTGGAACGTCTACCGCGTCTGCCTGGAGACCAACTGCTACAGCACCCAGCACTCCAAAGGGGGGGAGTTGTTGAACCCCGGGAAGTTCTGGGAAACCGACGCTCAGTTGCAAGCGAACAGAAATCGGCCTTACCTGTTGGCTGTCCAATTTCGGTTCAGGTTTGGAGGTTTCAAAAGGGTATAGCGCTATTTTTTAGGCCTGCGCAAGTTAGGACGGTGCTGGGAAGTTCAAAGTGAAGGAGGCCTGTGCTGGAGACAACTACCACCGCTTACTGATCCGCCAGGAATGCCAGGCCGAAGCGAGAGCTCTCGCTTGAGTTAAGTGCGAATTCAGATCTCGGAACCAAACGCCCCTTTTGTGGGTTCCCGGTGATTTGCCCCTCTTTGAAATATGGTCTGCGCCTCAAAACACAGGGCTTCCAACTGACAAATGTGAAGAATTGATCCAGTGCTTCCAGCAACAAGTAGGTTAGGATTTCTTTGATGGCCGTTCATGGTTTCCCCGGTATGGAAAGTGGAAGCACTGAGCGGGTCTAGGTCGGAGCCGCACACCGGCCAAACTCAATGGACAATGTTGCTTGGTATGTGGGGAGGGCCTGGGTACTTCATCCCAATATTGATTCAGACTAAGGTGAACCATGGGACGGCTTTCCCTGAATGGTCCTTGATGATCCCATGTACTCACTATCAGTCACATATACTGTGGATGGACAAAATGATGGGCGAGACCCTACGACGAGTGGGATAGGCCACATTCCAACTGGTGCGAAGTGGATCTGTTGCACTTTTCTCCATCAAAGAGAAACTAGCTCACGCGAGGTTCGGCCAAAATGTCCGGCAGCCGAGGGTCTGTACTTTTGCTAGGGACAGATATAGAGATACACACATGGCAACAGACATCGGACGGACAAGAAGAACATCCCCATGTTCAGTACTGGTGGTAACTTTCAACTGAAATCAAAGACTGGACGCTTCCCAAAGCAGGGGACACGGGCATTCGCCCGCTCGTAGGGTTCCCACTCCCCATTTCATGTCTTCCCATTTCTTCCTGAGGGTAAGTGAGAAACCCCCCCCCCCAGCCTCCAACCACCACTCCAACCCCCCAGTTCAAGCTGAACAATGGGGTGATACACACACACAACCACACTCACACTCACTAATTTTTACCCACACACTGCACAAGCTCAAGAAAACAGGATGACCAAAGCCGCCCTGTTGCCCGGCGCTGCAGGTGGCCCCGGAGGGCTTCAGGAAGTTCGCCTTCTCCAAGGCCGAAGACACACGGCCCATGTGCGGCATGCCGTTTTTTGTTGGTTTTTGAGTTGGGACCCGAAAAAAGGGTCAGGTTTGGAGGGAAGCCAAAGGGACACCATTTGCAGGGCTCCCAAATTTTGAGACCGCCTCATGTGGGTAACTACAAACACGGGGCGGGTTCTCCTTTTCATCTCCCTGAAGCCAACCTCAAAAAAAAGTACACTCAAGAAACCCGACTTGGCGCGTTGCCATGTTTCAGCAGGGCGGGGCAATTGTTGAACCTACGCTTAATATGAAACCAAAGAAACCGAGGAATCTTTCGGGAAAAAGGCTCACGCTGCCGTTGCCATATGTTAGCAGGGTCTCTTCAAGGATAAATTGGGCCAATAAAAATGTCACATGTACAGGCTGACTTTGGCTTTTGGATGTGTCCTGCCGGGTTCCTCAACTCGGTCATCCGCAACCAATTGCAGGCCAAATGGAAGCCAACTTAACTTGCAACCCACAAATCCAACTTGCACTACCCAACACACCAATCCAAAACCAAGATAGGTTGGTGTTCCGGAGAAGTCTGTGGAATGCTTCCCCTCCCCGAATTTCCTCTACCCTTTTGAGGGAAGCTAAAGCTTGGCCCAACCTCCCCCCACGTGCACCCCCCCTCTGCCGCAGCCAGGGCTACGGCACCACGGTGTACTCGGAGATCCCCCGCTTCGCCAACGAGGCCTCCTACGGGGAGATCCTGCAATCCGCCAAGGAGGCCTGCAAGGCGGACCCCGAGTGCCTGGCCTTCGACATCCTGAGGCCCTCCCGCGAAACGCGACGCGGCGAATGGCGGTTGGGTTGGCGGGAACGCGGAAACGCGGAAACGCGCAACGAATGGGTCGAAGTTGACACGGCAATCTTTCTGGGTGAAGCCAGGTGAGGTGGTATTTTCCGTCGTTTTGCCATGTGTCTTGTTTTCCATTGGGGTTGAGTCCAAGTTGAACTTGAGAAACCGGGGGTGCGATTCTTGGGCTGTGAAGCTAGAGTTCAACAAATGGTGGTTATATCAACCAGGCCCCATCGTTTTCAAAGGCCGCTGCTGGTGGTCGTCAGGAGTTTCAGCAAGGACAAGAACCCGGACTTTCGCAGCAAGGGGCAGACGTGGGCCGACAAGATCGACGCCTCGCCGGACGGATACGTTGTGTACAGACTGCATAAGAAGGATGCTGGATCAGACTTCACAGTGGAGGACGGGTGGGGATTTCCTACCTCAAAAGGAGACGGGTATTCGTTCGCTGACTCATCTGGTTCTCAGGTTTTGTCCAAAGTTTCTCTGCCGAAGCGCACCAGCCTCCTTCTCAGGCCCCTTTCAAAGCGCAGACTCTTGGGGGGTTGAGATTGCTTTCAGCTGGAGGATGATATTGACACGGATTGGTATGCGACAGATAGAGATGCGGAGATGCACAACTTCAAGGCCGGGGTTCGCCATTCAACGTGGAGAGTGAGTGAGGCATTGGCGATAGTTGGTGGTTCGGATTGCACATATTCGTGCCGTGCTCTTTCAGGATTTCAAGGGTGCAGACACAGCTCCTTTGACTGCGCCACTGTTTAGAGGTGGCCACAAGTGCACGGGCTTGAGGAGGGCAGTTGCTTGGATTGGGAACCAGGAACCTGTTTCGGGGAAAAACCTAGGGTTCCCCCCACCCCTAGGAAGAGTTCTTAAAACCAAAACCGGGTTCTCAGGCTGAGAATTTGCCTGGCCCTAATCTTGCTCCCTAGTCAGGGCGAAATATGGGCGTGCCGTTCTTGCGAAGCAACGGGCACCCCGTTTTTTCTCGTTTTTTTTTTTTTTTTTTTCCTCAAGGGAGACGAAAAGAGATTCACCGCAGCGCGGCCATGTTGCCCCCTGAAGCTCGTGACGTCGGCCAGGCGTCGCCTCTGCGGTGTATGTGGCGCAGCGGCTGGTCCTGCGGCTTCACGTCGCGGGTCTCGGTGCCGGTGTCGACGACTGCGAGCTCCAAGGAGGAGTGCGAGGACCGGTGCCAAGCCAGTCAGGCTGGGGGGGGGGAAATGGTGGGGGGTCGGTGGGTTTTTGGTGGGTTTTTGGTGGGGTTTGAGGGGGTTGAGGGGGTTCTGGCCGGTGAACCTGGCCTGGAGATATGCTGCCCCAGATGCGGAGCAGATTAAGCACGCGGAATGTATGCCTCGTGGAAGGGGGTTGTATTCAACTGGCAAATAGTGGGGAAACTGAACGGAAAACCACCATGCACCGAGAACCGTGGGTTTGGGATTGCTCTGTATAAGAAGGGGTGCAAACCCCCGGTCCCCACCAATCATGAAAGGGCGCGAAACCTGAGCATCAGGCACTGTTGGTTGGTTTTAAGGGAAACCAAAGAGGGAATCCAATGCACTTCCCGGGGAACTTAACGGGGCGATCGAAGTTGGTGACCATGGCTACAACCCACGCAAAAAGAGACTTTTAACCTGGGCAAGTCGGCTGTTCGGTCATGGTTTCTAGCCACTCACTTGGCGTACTGACTGGGTCGCCCCTTTGAAGGGGCCCAAGCCTCCTATCCGCGAAGTAGAGGAAACTGGTCTCAACCAGGGAGTACCATGTTGCTGGATGGGAGGTTCCCATGGTTGCTTGCCACTTACTAAGTACTCTGCTCCTTTAAGAATCCCTTTTCGGTTGGCTTAGGCCAGAGTGATCGACGCATTTGGGCTGGTTAACCAAGTTGTTCTTTTAGGGGACCTGCACATTTCGTAAGTGGGCTATCTGCCCATGGTTACAAACCACTTACCTGACGTAACCTTCATGTTTTTGGTTTTTCGCATTCCTTTTGGAGAGCCATGACCATTTCGGGCAAGCCCCGTTTCCCGTTTCGAGACAAATCCGGCTTTCCACTTATATGTAAAGATACAAGTTTGGACCGCCCGAAGTGGTAATTCTCCTTTGGGCTTCCTTTCAACCAACCTGAATAAGCACACACACACACACACATGTGCACACACACACACACACGCACACACACACACACACACGCACACACACACACACACCCACACATGAACTCGGAGTCTAAACCGTTTGTTTTCCACTAACATATGGTCTTCCCAAATCTGGCCCCCCCCCCCCCCCCAAACAAAAACCAGGAGCCATGCCCCAAAACGAGCCAGCCCCATTTGGGTGAGTCGACTTTTTCAGGGTTGCTCCACCCCTCAAAATAACATGTCTTCATGGTCTGCCTTTCAGTTTCCCGTTGCCAACCAAAACGGGGCCCCCCCTTCGCTTGCCAAAAGAAGGTCTCTGAGCCGGTGAAGGGCTGTTGCTCCTACAGCGCCGGGACCTGCAGCTTGGTCAGCGAATTATGACCTCCTACGATGTTGTTTTCGGGTTTTGTCGCTTCTTGGGGTCCCATGCTTGGCCCGAAAGGTGATCACCGTTTGTTTTTCCGGGTTTTCCCATTTTGGGTTGCCATCTTTAGTATTTTAGTTACTGGCCCCGAAAGATAAATCCATTTGAGTTTGCCCCCCATTTTGGTCCATTTGGGCTCACAGCAGTTCGGCTGAGTGTTTCTTTTTGTTTTTTGGTTCTGTTCATTTTTAGGCTGCACAAAAAAAGCAAAACAGCAGCCGGCGATTTTTGATGCCGTTTGGGTTGGAAAGGCCTGGTTGATTTCTGGAGTCCTGAGGCAAATTCGGGGAGGGCGCCGAGTTCGACGCGGCCACGGAGGGCTCGGACGCGGCGGATTGCTGGCTGGAGGCGCTGGGATGGGCCGATGGACCAGGTTCACCCGTAACCCGGAAGGAAGCGCTTGGGCGTGTTCTTTGATGCCATTTGTTTGGGCTTCAAAAGGAAAAGAACCAGTTTTGAGGGTTCATTTTGAGACGTTTGGCGAATCCACTCGGAAGTGAGACCATATTTGCCGACGGAAATTTATCTCTCGGTACTTTGTTCCTTCCGGCCAAATGCTGCTTGATTCGGCGTTCAACAATCCGAGCGAAGCCACAATTCTTGCGTGCTACTGGGAGTTGGTGAATTTGTTATTGTTCCTGGTGCCTGATGGTTGTATTTGGCAAAATTGGTTGGTGTTTGTTTCATAGGATAATGTGTTTGTGCACAGCACTTGATAGAGTGTCGATTCATTCAAGTGGTGATCGCCACGTGATGGCTTACAAGCGCAGGAGAAAGGAATGGTCTGACATGTCATGTCGGCCTTGGCTGGGGCATTTGTTTGCATCTTTCTCCTCACCTTGCTCAGCTTTTCCCTTGTCTCCATCTTGATAGTGTTGTCGAGTGAATGCTGCCATCTCTACCTCTGTTTGGATTGAACTCTGCCATCTCTACTTTGTGTGGGACTCGCTGCTAGTCTGTGAACATGTCATGCAATGTGAACATTCTTTCCATGGGGCAGAGGGTCCATTATCTTTCGAGCGTCTCCCGGACAGGTTCTGCCCACAACAACGACGACAACAACCACCACGACAACAACCACCACGACGACTACAACTACGGAGACCACAACCACGGAGACAACCACCACCCTCACTACAACGACAACTACCAGCACAAGCACGACAACTACAACAACCACGACTACAACGACTACAAGCACAAGCACGTCGACCAGCACAAGCACGAGCACCAGCACGTCGACGACAACTACCACAACCACCACGACCAGTACAAGTACGTCGACCACGACAACGACCACAACAACTACAACTACCACAACAACGACTACAACGACGACGACCACTACCACGACGACGACAACTCCATGGATATCGGCGATCCAGCCTTCATGCATCACGGTCGACAAGGCACTGAGAGGAGCAGCACTGAAGAATCTGTGCCTGTCAAATGCATAGAGAGGCCCAAAGAAGTCGATAAGTGGCTAGGAATGTATCGCCCTCAACCATGACCTGTGCACTGGAGAACCATATTATAGATGTCAAACGGTTGCCTGTCAAAATCGGGCCCCACTCCCGATGGTTTCCTTTTGGTGTCCCTTTCAACCCCATCCAAAAAGGGATCCCTTATTTTGAGAATAACAATGTCAACGGGGGCCCAAAGAAAGCTCATACTCAAGTGGGCTTTAGCCTTGAGGCATTTGAACCATTTTTTGGATTCAGGTTCCACTCCATTTTGTTTCAGGTGAACAATGGTTACATGAACCCAACCATTGTTTTCATGTCAGTTGGAACCCCAAGGTTCCTGTTTTTGGCCAAGGGCCCCTAGCAGAACGAACCTGTTTGAAGGCGACCGAGATCACGTTCATCGGGGGAGATCCTGGTGACAAGGCGCGGAGGGAAAGAAACATGGCCATGGGTCATAACCTATGCCGATCCCATTTTGGGGCGGAACACCCATGTGCAATATTATTTTGATGTTCACCAGGGGTACAGTGTCAGCTTGTTTGAGGGTTCCCTTTCAACTTTTTTAGTGGGTTTCAGGCGTTGAGTGTGACTCAAACAGAGGTGGTGCGTAAAAAACTGCTCGATTGTGTCGCAGCCTAGGTCAAGTTCGAGGTGGACTGCGATTCTCTCACAGATGACAACTTCACCATACTGCGGCTTTGCCAGAAGTCTGGCTGCGTTTCTGCCGGAGTGTTTTTTTCGTGGCCCAGGCAAGAAGGGAAAGCAGGAGCAAAGGCCGCCTTCTATCCATCCAAGGAGGCGAAATCTGAGACACGCTCTGAGTTGTGAGTTGCTGACCTGTGTCCAAACTCTCAGTTGAACCCTCCAGACCTGACCGGTTCCATGTTTTTGTTTGTCAATTTCTCCAAAGAGAGCTCCAGCTCGCATTCGACGCGCCTTGATTCTTCGATTTGACCTTTAACCAGTCTTTTCAGAAGCAATGCAGCGCCGCTGCGAAATGAGGCAACCCAAAAGGAGTGGCTGCCCTTGATTTCCCTTAGGCCAATCTGAGTGAAGGGCCACGTCTCCGCGCCCTAAAAGCCTCTTTAATTCCTCAAGGGTTTCCGTTGAATGTTTCCTTTTGGTGCTTCAAGGGACTGTCAAGAAAGCAAAATACAACACCTACAAGCAAGAAGGGGCAAGGTGCAAACCACGGAAATAAAGGGGCCTCAAAGCCTTTTGGAACCCTCGCAGTTTCACCCCAAGTGCCCACAAATGCAAGGGTTGAGTCCTCATTCTTTTCACCCATCATTCTCTTTAGAAACCGCCGATTTTCCCAGGGGTTTGGCCTAGTTGAAGAGATTCAGATGGGAGCGGAAAACCAAGGCACAGCTAGAACAATGTTTTTTGGGTTGGTGCCCCTATTTTCCAACAAACATTGTCTTCAAAACCCCAAAACAGGGGTAGCCTTCGCCTCAAAAAGCGACACGACGAGCACATTTCATGGACAGGGAGTCGTTCGTGGTTCGATTCGCAGGGTGAAGGCTTCCTCTTGTGCTACAAGCGCGGGCACGAGGCCGTACACGGGGAGCACCACCTCACCTTGGCCGCTGGGCCGGGCTTCAGCTACAAGTTATGCAAATGGATTCCCTTTAGCAAGTTCAAAGGGAAACGAAAAAGAGCGCCCACCGCTTTTGGTTTTTTTTTTAAGGCCAACCCAAATGAGCGGACCCACTGAGTGACTCATTGCGCTTCCAGATGCTCAAATGGAATCTTCGGTTCATTTCACCTCCTTTCGTCTTTGGGTAAGGGGAAGTAGCCATCCTGCCCGCCTAAACCTGGCAGTCAAAACTGGCCCAATCTTCCCATGTAGGTATGTCTTTGTTTGAGAGATCTCCTCCCACCCTGTTCAGAGTTCCGCCCTCGGAGCTGCGAAGCCACTCAGGACGTGAAGGGCCCCACAGGCACCGATCACATCAGCGCGATGAGCCAGAAGCCCAGTGACATCTCTTTCTCTGGCGTCTCTTTGGGAGTGCGTCCTGGCTTCCCGTTTGCCTGTCCCGAAGAAAAGCACTCTTTTTTCGGGCATCGTGTTGTGGCGCCCGGAAGGAACCCACCGGAAGGTCACCCGGAAGGTTCAAAGACATACATGCACTACATGCACTACATGCAGGACATGCATGATATGCATGACATGCATGACATGCATGACTTTGTCGCATACGGAGCAGCCGACATGGAGGCCCCACTCTGGTCAAGAGGGATGAGGCGGCCGACATCGAGCTGGACGGGCCAGCCAAGACTGCTGGGAGGGCTCGGGCCTGAGGCTCATGGCACCGGCACCCCAAAAGCGGATGGCCCTTTACTTGATCCAATTCTTCAGGTAGGAACTGAAGCTGGCAGATGTAGGCCACGTTTTGCGCAAAGAGCAGATGGATGTGACTAACTGTTAATGGATTCTTGGAAGATGATGACAATATGATTGGCAGTCTACTGTGGGTTTGCTGCCATCTACTCTAGAAAAAAGGATGACATGGGGCACACTCACAAGAATACCAGGACTATGTAGCACCAGACGTAAAATGGTGTACCTCTGTATTCATGTCCTTAACCACTAGAGCTGACAGGAAAACACTAGTTTAATACCTCAGGGGTACATGGCAGTGATCCTTGAGAGTAAAGTGTTTTACCATAAATCTCGTTCTCAGGGATTGTAAGGCCATGTGGTGAATCTCAATGGCTGAATGGACATCTGGGACCCCATCTGTCGGGATGTCCAAAGGGCCCAAACCAATGAACATTACCCACATACAAGACTATGAAGCCCCCCCTTGCTTTGGTTTCGCGAGGTCATCTTGTGGTTTTTCTCAGCCCTTAAAATGGGTATGGTTGAGTTTCCTGTTGGCTCCCTTGAAACCAACCATCGACCATGTTTGGAAAAACCGTTCTTTTGAGGCGGCCACGTTGATTTTGCAGAAGCCAAGAGGAGACCGGAGCATTTCCAATTTAGCGGCTCCACATTCCGCATTACATAATTTCAATAGCCTTACTTGTATCTAGCACCCGCCACGTTCTCTTCACTCTTTTGTCGGCGCAAAACCCCGGCAAAATGGGTGGACCGAGAGCGGGATGAGCCCCGATGGCTTGCCATTTGGAGGGTGAATAAACAGGGCAAAAGGGGGAAAACAAAGGAATCGGTTGGGTTTGGTAGGGTTTGATCGTGGATTGTCATCATTTTGGGCCATGAGACTGAGGTGTGCTTCTCTCCAGACTGCAGCCTCTGCCCTCAGCTCTATGCAACTTGGCAGCAGTGGAGCCAAGGAATATCGAAAGGCCTGCCTTATCAAACTACTCCTACCACACCTCGAAAACATCGCAGTTTTGGTCTGTTTCGGTCTTCCCCCAAATGTAGTCTCTTTGGTACGTAGGGCGGCGTGTTTGGTCCCGCAATGGGGTGTGTGTGGTTGTCTCAAGCTCGGGGGAAGCTTGATAAGTCGTCGGTTCTCCTCAGGCACACGCACACACACACACACACATGCTTGTACACATACATGTAGTCACGTGCTTTTGCGTACCAACCACCAAACAATGCAACAACACACACCCACACGCATTCGGCGACAGGACGGGGAGTACCCAGCGGTGCAAATCCCGGGCACGGTGACCTTTCTGAAGGAGGCCGAGCCAAGCGGAGCACGGAGTAGCCTGACGAACCCACCAGAGGTTTCCTTTCCCTTTCAGCTCCAGAAGGTCGTCTAGCATCTTCCTTGCCGATGTGTGAAATTGGTGCAGAGAGTTTTGAGAGAGGAAAGTTGACATTTTCACGTGAGTTCCTGGACTTGAGTCATTTGTTGGGCACGACCACATTTTAGTGGCCAACAAGAAGTCGGACATTTTCTGGGCCAAACGGAAGAAGTCATCGTATCCAAAGAGCCAGAGTGTCTGGTGTGTCTCCAGGCCAACAAGCTGCACCAGGTGGCGCCCGACAAGGCACTTTGCATGGTAAGTTTAATTCCGGGGGAGGCAAACAAGAGTGTTCCACGCGTTTTGAGACCGACCCAACGCCTGGGTCTTCATATATTATGGTACAGTGTGTTGAACAGATGTGGCAGAGTTCTTTGCTACATGAGCCTTGTTTTGTTTCTAGGGTTGGAGGCACGCCCACCTTTCCCGCAGGATGACAACGAGTACAAGATTTGCTATCAGGAAGACTTCAGCTGTGTCGCTTGGTTTTCGTCGAGGAATCTGGGGGTTGACTCCTGATCCAGGCTGTCCTGCCATGGTTTTCCATGCGTGGCGTTTCAAAAAGCAAAGTTCATCTTCACTGACGAAAGGGAATGCGTCAAAACCCAAAATTGTAGTTTTTCCTTTGGTTTCCTAACATGGAAAATCAACAAACTGTAAACCCAGCCGCTTGAACTCCGCGCCCCAAACCTGGGTCCGGCTGAACCAGCGGTTTGGGTGTCGGTGCTGGTTTCTCAGATTCCATTTGGGTGGGGAAGTCACGCCATGGCAGGAAGGCCTGTGAGTGAGTGTTTGGGATGCCATTTTCTCGCGGCTCCGCGTGTGGTTCTGAGCACGGCGCAACCGCCGCAGCTGAGACTCACGGATTTGCTCAGGAATGGGTCGAGCAATCGGGAGGGCTCAAGCTCCGCTTCGACCCACACGTCAAGAGCCTTGATCAGAGCTGCATAGCAGCGAGCCTTGGATCAAGCGATGAGTTTCCCGGATCCCGTCGCTGGCACGAACCACTCGAGTAGGTGACCAGGGGCAAAAAACCATCTGGAACCTAGAGGCAAGAGTCCTGGTTACCTGCTATAGCGGCTTGGAGTGTCTTGGTTGGCGTTTGTGCTTTTTAGAGCCGCGGGAAATCCGTCAAGCCAAGGAATAGAGATGCGACGATCCGATTCACCGGCGCGTGGAAGGGAGATCGCGTGCCTTGCAACACACAGTGGTCCCAGGGAGGAAACCCTCAGACTTGGAACCCCGCCAATTTTGGAAAGCCGCACAGCATGGAAACACACTGACGGTCTTTGAACCCAAGGGAAACCCCCCAAAAAGAGCCTGTTTTCGGAACCGGACATAAAGGACACGCCCCAGCAGAGAGCTGCTCTCAAACAGGCTGGTCGTTCGTCCCAGGTCGAATTTGCAGAATCCTGCAATGACATGACAGAGCCGGACGCTGCTTGGGAGCAAGGTTTGGAGCCGATACAGGGGATGAGGGTACTATGTGAACCCAGAAGCCGCCTGCTTTTCGAAGGTTTCATGCGATTCAATCTGAACGTTTGGGCAGCACCCACCTGATGAAACGTAAGCGAACGCCAAGGGATTGGGTCTGGTGGGAGCGAGGCTGAGTGCCGGCCTAGGAAGTGTTGAACGGAGAAGGCAAGCGAGCCATGTGGTACGCAGGCAGGGTCGCGCGCACGTGGCCGGCTTCGCATCTTGGTCCCGTTCCACAGGTTCTTGGGCCACCATGGCTTGATCAGGCTGTAGGTCAAGGATACTCCAAATGGCCTGGCAAACAGAAGCATGGACCATCTGCAGTCCCCCCGCTTCATTTTGGCTCGTACCCATGGGGAACCACAGCCATAGGGCCCTAGGGCCTCAAGGCATGCCTCAAGGTCCCTTGACCCAACTCAGGGGAAGCCCTGGATGGCGTGAAGCTGTGCTACAAGCCGGATGCTTCCGATGCCGCCGCCGGCTTGGACACCGACCTGGTCAGCAGAGGGAACGGGTTTGTCACCGAAACATCGGCAAGGTGAGCTGTCGAATATCCAGAGGCCTTTGCCCTGCGGTTCAACCTCCGCAAAAATGGTGGTTGACCCAATTTAGGTGATGAAAGTGAGGTACACTCTGGAAATTCATGGTCCCTGCTCTCTCTAAGGTTCCGGGGTACGTGGCGACGGTGGCCGAGCAGGAGAATATCCTTCTGTACATCAAGAAGGTGACGCTGAAGAACGTCATCACCTCGCTTTTTGGACGTCGAAAAAGGCAAACCAAAGGTCGCGGCTTTGAGACTGTTGGATCAAAGGCGGCACCTGCCTGTACCAGAAAATAATGTTGAACCCTGTGCCCTTTTTTGCCCACACAGCTCGATTCTGTGCTTCATATAGGGGAAGAGGGACATCAGTTGAACCAACGGGGATGATCATATGGGCATGTGTCGAAATAGGGGACCCCAATAATCCCTGGTGTTCCCTTGGTTTCGCCTTAAACCAACCTGACATATTCCGACCACACATTGGCCAAGCTCAACAGCAACACGTGGCCAAAGCGAGGCGTTTCAGCCTCCGGTGAGTTGGGACGGATCCGAGGTTTAGCCCCAAGACCGTTGCCGGGAACACGGAGAACACCATGCACCACCGCTAGACTTAGCGCCTGCCTTTTTTCCAGTCTCCGGGTTACAGGGAACCCTGGCTTCTTTTTTTTTGGCTAATTTGACACATACCATTATATAGGCTTTACTATAGTCCCAATTTAAGCCAGGTATAGAACCACCTGAAGTTGCCAGTAGGAATCGCTTCTGACCCCTCCCCCCCAAAAAATGAAAAGCAACACACACACACACAGCACACACACACACACACACACACAAGAAGGCATCGGCTTCCTGGCTGGTTTCCCTTTAAAGCCACAAACAAAAAAATGGAACCCTTCGCCTCACGTCGAGGTACTTCTGGGGCAAGTGGCAGGTCTTCGAAGGTCAGCCGCAGGCCGGCGGCAAGATCTGCTTCGCGCAGGAGGTGACGGGCTGCACGCCCTGCCCCCTGGAGCATGCGGGGGAATTTTTCGCGACCTGCCGCCCAAAAGTGGGGGGTGAGTTTGCTGAATGGTTTTCAGCTGGAAGGTGGGGGGGTTCTCCCAGAAAGGTGGTTATGAAGGCTCGGCTCAAGGCGTCAATGACTCTGATCCCTATGAAATCAGGTAGTAGAACCAGGGTACGAATGGAGTTTTAAGTCTGTAAGCCAACCCTCGACATGGGAATCATCAAAAAATCGACATTTGGTGTTGGATTTGTGCCAAGCCATTTTTGAGGGTGTTCCATCTTACCAAGATTTTTGGATGGGAAACCAAGAGCGAGCAGCCATTTGAGCAGATTCCCCCGCACAAGTCCAACAGTTAACAAACGCCCGCGAGCCTTCAAGCAGAACCCTGCGCCAGGTGTCAAGTTTTATCAACCAGTATTCAGACTGTTTCATTCATCCCAACCGGTGCCAGGGACTTTGTAACCATCCTCCCAAACCACTAAGATTGGGACACATGTTGCCTCCCACAAAATGGGCAGTTTCCATTCGTTTTTCCTTTGAAACAATTCCCAAAAAGGACACACCCATTCTTGGACCACAGACAACGCTGAGGTTTCAGTGGTGTTCGCCCAGCCTTTGACATCACCGTGACTGATGAAGTGGTCCCTGGCCCGCTCGGCAAGATCTCATACCGCCCGGACACCTGACGGCAAGCAACTTCATGCCGGATGCAGCCAAAGTGGGGATTTCTTGTGAGGGCTGGTTCCTCTATAGCGGGTGTCTTTGGTGGTGCCATGTCAGAATCTGCCGTAGTGTACTTGCCAGTGCAGCTTCTTCCAAACAAACCAGGATCGGGGAAATCCTGTTTTTTATTATTAATTGCGGGGTAGCATGGCATGGGGATAAGTGCGATGCCCTGGAGAACAGGGACCAAATATGTAAGCTTGGCCCTGATATACACAAGTATGGCAACATAACAATATATTTGTTTTTCCGATGTAGAGAACTTATTTTATACGTGTACACCGTGGACACGTCTATCCACATATGTATATACCCCATGCATATATTGGTACCCTCCTTCAGGGCTCATAGGCGGCTGGGGCAAGTTGGGCAATGCTTCTAGATCCACATGTCCGGGAGCCGGACGAACATTGACTCATGGCCGAGGACGGGGTATCCCACGACCTCAATGAGATTGTGTGCTACCAAGCCCCGAACAGCTGCCAATGGGTGCGCCAGACGGACAAGGTCCTAGAGGCGAGATAAAGGTATCAACAGTGTGGGCTCGCGTTAAAATGGGGAACCCCCACTTAGTTCCCAGCTGTCCTTGTAGGTTTTCAGGTTTCTAGGCTGGGAGTCAGTGGTGGTTTCCATTCAACCCGCTAGAAGTTCGACTTTATATCATGGGATCTGAAGGACAGCCTGGAGGGTTCTCTCCTAACAAGTGGAGTAAGGTGCTACAATCGGACAGGCCCCAACAACTGTCGCCACTTGAGCTTGTAGGGGTTTTGGAACTGGCTCCTTTCTCCCGCCTCGAGCGCCCAAACAAAAATACCACCATGGCCAGGTCATCAACGGAGAGGTGCCGCCAGCGACCGCGCCAAACACCGTGTCTTCCATATGGCCCGCAGCCGTCAACATCAATGCGCTGCGCTTAGATCTTCAAAAGGCCTTCAGTGGTCTTTCCCTCCAGTTCTTCCACAATAGCTGAAAGCACTGGGGTCTCTGCCCGCCAGGCTCTGGGGTGGTTTGGGGCAGATGGGGAGGGCTCGGGAGGGCTCCAGGGGTTTCGGGGCTGTTGGGGATCTCACCTGTCTCTCTTGAGGGGGAGGGGGGGAACTATGATACGGTGCATGGCAAGAAATCCTGCACCACCCCTGAACTTAAAATTCCCCTGTAAACACCAAACATGGAGGTTCAGAGGCTTCCACCAGGTTTCCCCCTGGTTTCCACCCTTTTCATTTTCTTTTCTGCGAGAATCGGATTTCGTCGTATGGCCATTGGTCTCTTGGCAGCGCGCGGCCATCAGGTGATGACCTCGCTCACCTTCAAAGGTGCAGCGCCTGGTGACAAGGCACCGATGCGCCCGCGGGCCACCGGTCGCTGGGCTCGTCCGTGCCCCGATCGTGGGTTCGCGTTTAATTAAGCCAGCCTGAAAAAGGGTACGAGTTTGAATAACTTTTTGACAATACCGTAGCATGATTTTCTGGGTCAACATATCCAGATGGTCAGCCGATTGGGTCGAATTACTTGCTGGAAAGCGAGCATGACACCTGAAAGCTAGAAAGGAAAATTCCTCCAGGGACCCCATGCAGCTTCGTACTCAACCACAACAACCAAGGGAGGCCTCACATTTCCCATTGCTGGAACAGCATATCTTGAGGCCGTGCTTGAGTGGATGTGATGGGGGATGGTGAGGGCCTGCATAAGCGTTCAAAGCTGTTGTCGGTCTCAAACCCCAACAGAAGGGTTGGCCATTAGGGCTCTATCCTCTGCCGTTGTAGGATGGTGAAGGCCTGCATAAAAATCTAGAGCTTTTGTTGCTCGACCTAGACGCGCGCACCTTTGGGGACCCCGCTCCCGATTCAACTCGCGCGGAGCCCTATTCTGTGCAAGGCGATCTTCGTCTCGGCAGAAGGTGGCGCGAATTGTGACAATGTGCGGCCGGACAAGGAAGCCTCCTGGTCAGAAATGCTGAGGGTATTCCGTTCTTGTTTTCTTTTCCTCATCGACATGATGATTTATCTTTCCAACAATCCAGGAAGCGGACAGGTGGGTTTGGGAAGACTATTGTCCTCTTGCAAAGGCCCCTTGTCCACTTCCATGATTGTGAAAAAAAGAGTTGCGCAGCGCGCGCTGTTCGCCAATGGTATTCAGCTCGTTCGAGGTCGGCTTCGGAGAGGGCCTCTTTTCCTTCTCCAAGTTGGGAGTGTACCATCTTTGCTATAGCGCCTCGGCGGATTTTCGTGGCACCGCTTGGAAGTCAGCAGGTGTTGCTGGTTGCCCTGGCTGAAAGCCTTTTCGGTCTTCTCGCTTGCAAGGGGACGGGATGTGGTTCCGAGTGGGCGGGCGTGGCTTTCGCTGGTGTCTGTTTTTGGGGGCTGTCCAGAAATTCCGGCCAAACAGACTTCACCAGCTTTTTCACCATGTGACTCTGAGTTTTCATGGTTGGGCCCCTCAAAAGTGGTCGGAGATACATCCCTCACAAAGGATCCTGAGTCAGACCCATTTGTACGTTAAGCATGCCATGGCGCATGCTTCACTTGCGCCCAGGAGCTACGGGTGTTCCTTGGATGAACTGGGAATGGGCAAACGGCAGGCGAAGGGAGGCCCCCAGAAACCATTCTCCTTCGGTCTGGGCTCGGTGATGGATGGGTGCGGATGGATGTCCGGCCAAGTTGGATAGTGGTTAGCCACTTGGGTATGACCCCCTAAAAACAAGGTTTGCCCCACTCATAAATGGGTTACTACAGCCTAGGTACCAACAACTTATAAACTTGGCTGAGGTGCCCAGTACTGTTGGACCTTCTTTACTGTGACCCGCCCCCAACAGTGTGGCAACGGGGTGTGGCTGGGGACTTTGGACTTGATCGTACTGAAATTAGTATTGCCGATCAGGTTGTGTGAAACCATACCCCCAAAAGGGCACACCGTAAAGGAAGGGAACAGCTTATAGTTTTCTAAAAGGCCATCTTCCAACTTCAACCGTTTCCCTTTTGGTGTCCTTGCGGTTGCCAAAGGCCATTTAGACCTTCAAACGTTTCCCTCTTAGTTGCCGAATTGTTGTTTTTTTCCTGAAACAAGGGTCTACCCCACAAATTCCCTGTTTTTTCCCTGGAAACTCCACATCGGTGACTTCAACTATGGGGTCATTGCACCGGAACCAACTAGCAGGGATACAGGCAGAACCAGGGATATGGGAAGATTCCCCCTAAATGCACCTTGACTAAGTTTGATATGGGAAACAACGCCCAGGGAATCCCCGCATGTCCCCGCTCCGTACGTATCTTGAAGTCATCGGGAACCCCGTGCCATCAGTGGCACCCAGCCCTGCGGCTGAGGCACATGACTCGGTGGCCCAGATGGGGTTCAATCTCACCGTCCGCTCACCTGGTGTCTCCAAAGACATGATGCCTGGCTGCACCGCGCGCGCTTGTTCGCCGCGCGCGAACAAAGCTTTGCGCATGTGTGTTGTTTTGAAGATAGGGTCCACTACAGCAGTTGCATTCTGACGGGGCTTGTTTTACAGGGAAACCAAAAGAAACTTGCCATTTTGGGGGTCCGATTCCCAAAGGAGACACACCCAAACGAGTTCTGAGGTTCTTGCCCCTAGACCACCAAGAGGATCATTTTGGTAGAAAACAAAGTGTGTCGATGTGAATGAACTAGACCGGTATCTGCAATTCCAACAAGGGGTGCCCCTGCCTGTTTTAGAAATAAGCCATGTTTCCCTGATAGCGTTGGCTTTGGTGGATATCGGTTCAGACCATTCCACAACAAAACAAAAATAATATTGAAAAGACGTGGAGGAAGCATGGCCATTGTGGCGCTGAGGATGTTGAATGGATGTGTACTTGATCGAGTGCGCATAGGAGCGATTAGAACTGCGCGCCCGCTTTCAGGATCAGACCCTTCGAGGAGAAGGGAGGGATCTCTGATTGCTCGGCACTGCAGATGGTGCCGGGCCTCAGTTTGCGCAGAGCGCATCCGGGTTTGTCTTTCGAGAGGCTAAGCCCCCTTTTCGGGTGGGTTTACAGAACAACCAACACAAGAACCGTTGCGCCACTTTCGGGGTCCTCTAAACATGAATTGGGGAGGGGGGTGAGTTCGACCCCTGGAACTCCATTCAAAAAGTTTCATCCACCTTTTTGTGGTCGGAGAAAGCTGGCAGGGCCAACTCACCCTCAACGCACGGGTCCAAAGACTCAAGCTCGGGGTCGTACATGAGGTAAGGTCAAGCTTTCCAGCAGTCCATGGCTCATTTAAGAGAGCACAGGAGGGAGCCCACCATGTACTTTGTGACTAGCCGTTTCCCTGCACACATTGATCAATTTAAGGAAAACCAAGGACCAACATGATTTGATGGTCCCTCATCCCCTTCCGGGTGTTGGATCCCGCCGAAAAAAAAGGAGAAAAACAGCCCAACGGTGTTCCTTTTGGTTTCCCTTTAAAACCACCAAAACGAGGGGGGTACCGGGTGGCTGGGAACATGGCCGAGGTGCCGCACTGCTCCATGATGAACCAGGATCTCTGTGAATCTTCTTACGTGATCTACAGAGGAGTCGACCAGTCAGGGCTTTCACAAGATCCAGCTCGAATCCACTGAGTTTCGATTGGGCAAACTGGGTATGGAGCAAACTTAGTACGACCTTAAAGGTTGACTTTGGTGCCCCTTGATCGTTCTGCACACCTGTTGTTTTTTCTGTTTGCTTTGAGGCAGTCCATTGGGGGTGTCGTTGTGAAAGGTGCCTGGGAAACGAACGGCACCATCCAAATCGATTTGAGACAATTCCTTGCAGGAACTGGCTACAAATGCAGCTGGAACAAGGAGATCTGGCCTCCTGCGTGCTTTGGCAGGGTGTATTGCTCGCGGGCACGGGTGTGCCTGGGATTTTGTGGCTTCGCAAACATAAATCTCGAAGTAAATGATGTCCTGCACAGGCATTTCCAAGAAGATCTATACCCATTCGTTTTATTTCTTCACACCAGGGCCTTGGAACATGGGAGGATGAAGGGCATAATTTTGAGGTTAAGAAGCCTTAGGAAACAAAGCCCTATAAGCATTGGGGGGGTTCTTTGGGGACGGATTTGGCGGGGTTCCTCGCTGAGCATCCGTCTTGCCCGTTCCGAGCGCCGAGGTGCGATCTCGACAAGGCCAAAGCGCCGCAGAGCGATATCTGTCAGCCCTCGTCGGGCACCTAGTTCCAGGGGATGGGTGGGTCCTTTGTGTTTTTGGACTTGGAACTCTTGGTTGCTGGTGTTGAGGGGAAACTCAAAGAACAACCGCCATGTTTGTTTTTTTTTGGGGGGGGGCTAACCAAAACTGAGACACCCAAATCGGTTTCTCGCAGCACAGACAATCATATTTTAGGCCCCAAACAGAAGGGTTTATGGGGTTACTCAAACTGAGAGGGGCGGCCGATGAATCTGTACGTTTGTAATTTGGAGGTATGGCAGGAGGTGTGTGGATTGGATTTCATTTACAACACGGGGGATGGGTGCGTTTTTCTTGAAGGGATTTTTTCGGTTCTTTTTGTTTTGCCCACAGGGTCAGGTAACCCTTACTTGGTTGCCTTGGGGGTTTGAAGTCCCGCTTCTTGTAAAGGATAAATGGGAGTCGCCGCTAAGCTCCACGCCATCAAGCCAGAAGCTGACGGAGGCAACCCATGGTGCCGAGGAAGTGCCCAGGATCGCCTTCGCTCTGCTGGTGAGCCGCTGGGTCCGGATGCCGCTGGTCTCCAGTTACGCTCGGCCCGGACCAGAGTGAGGTACGAGGTACACCGTTTCAGCCAGCCCAAGCGGCGAGTTTCACTAGATCCATACACAAAGCCGGCATGCTGCGCGGAGAAAGGAGAGAGAGCCAAAAGTTGGTGTGTCGTTTTGAAGGGGACCCCTCCAACATGGAAGTTTTCCTTTTGGCGTTCCTTTCACCCCCCTACCTCCCTCCCGCCCAAAAAAAACACAACAACGGGTACCCCGAAAAAAAACACAACCCCAAATCCGCAGAAGCAGGGCTGTGGGGAATGACCACTTCTGTGATACAACAGAAAGGGCTTCCCAAAGACTATTTTGTTAATAGAAAGGGGGATTCCCTTGTATCACAGAAGTGGGGAGAAACCCCTTGATCTCACAACCCAAATCCGCGGAAGCGACGTGAAGCGACGTGAAGCGACGTGAAGCGACGTGAAGTGCTCTAGCGATGCTCCTGCCGCAGGCCTCGAAGGAAGCGGATTCCAAGGCTGCCAGTGGCGTTGCCGGCCGCTGAGAGAAGGATCTCCGGAGACGCCGTCCATCTGGGGGGCTCGTCCTTTTTGGAGTTGGTACCCGTTTTGTGGGTTGGTTTCATGGGGAAACCAACACGGAAACCCGTGGCGTCATTTTGGGGGGTCCGATTCCTGAGAAACAGACACACCCATTTCATTGTTTGCCCAACTGCCCAACTCTTTGGATGAGTGCTGCTGGGTGTTTCTTTTAAGCAGGGTGGCTGCCGTGTGCACTGAGGCAGTGCAAGGAGTGGGCACCAGGCAACCTCGTCGATTCATGGCAGCGCCCCCTAGTCAGACTGACTGAAACGCGGTGCCTTGTTTCGGGTATCCCGAAATTGGTGGATTGGTTTGGGGATTTGAGCCTTTGTTCTTGAGGGTGAACGGGAAACCGACCAAAGTGGTTTGTTGTCCACACTTGGACCCTCCCATGGACCCTGTTTTTGTTGCGTGCTCTCTGGGCGTTTGACCCGCTTATGAAAGCCTTTTTTTTTCACGTTTGCCGTCTTGTGAAGGGAATTGCCGCGTACAGTTGCTCAAAGTTGCAAGGATCGAACTCGGCCACTTGGGTTTCGCAGAGTTTCCACGGCGTTCCTACCGCACCTCTGAGGCAAGAGGTTGGCAGGGGTCTCAGCTGCCCGTGCAGTTCGGGGAACACGTCGACACGTTCATTTACACACGCACAAGGAGCCACTCACCCAAGAAGGCGAATCGAGCTGAAATAAATGACCTGGGAAGGTGTTCCCTTGGTCCGTAGTCCAGGTTCCAAAAGGCGACCACTTTGTATTGGAGTATCTTTGGGTCCCAGGGGCAACTGACATGTCTTTCCATATCCGCCTGAGGTCGCTGACCGGCGCGCTGGTGGCCCCCGTGCTCTTCCGGGCGTCGCACCAGGTCCCGCGGGCCCCGCGGGCCCCGGCCCCGCGGGCTCCGGCTCCGCGGGCTCCGGCGCGGGATCCGCGGGCTCTGCACCGGGCGGGTCCGGCACGGATCAGGCGGGGGCCGGATGATGGGTTGGCCGGTTGGGAGCTTCTGGTTTTAAGCTGGGGCCGGGATCTTTCGCCTTGGGCCCAAAAGCCAACGATTGGTTGCCTTCGGCTTTCGAAGGCCTGCCTTCGTACAGTTGGGACCAAAATTCCATTGGGACTTTGCTGCTCCTAGCTTTGGCCGCTGAGTGCAGCACTTCCGCAGGCTCGGCATGTGAGGCCCGAGGACTTTTTCCGTAGACCGTAGCCTGCAGAATGCCAAAGAACGCATTTGGTCAGGTCTGTGGGCTGTAAGGACAGCATTGTCCAGGGGGCCCTGCTTTTGTAGACCCCCGGCCTGTTTTTGTGGGCTGAGCCAACAGGTATAATGGAGGCGGGGTTGGAAAATCAGGGCTCCCTCTCCCCACGCAGGCAATGCCGCGAGTTTTCGTTGAGAAAACAAAAAGGCGCGCGCCTGGAATGAATCAAACTGCACGAAAGAGATGTGGCACTTCGGGTTGGAGCCGTTTGGGTTTGGCTCACCAGGCAGCCAATGGGAAAGCACCCTTTTGCACCCTTTTGCGGGGTACGACTCGAGACACCTCATGTGACTCATGTGCATAAGGCATCTGAGGAGGAAGCAGCCAAGCCTTCGGAAGCACCAGTCCTAGTCGCCGCGCAGTTTCAGACCAGTTTTCAGCTAGGTTCGGATAGCATATCCACAGTCCTTTCGGGAGGGGCAGGGGACTTTCTAAGTTTGAACCACAAAAGCATGAAGGACCTCGCCAGTATATCCATGCCCTGTAACAGCACGTTTTGACTGACTGATGGATGTGGTTTGGGGTACTGGATTTGGGTGGGTTTAAAGGGAGACCAAAACAAGAATCTTTGCGCCACTTTCAGGGTCCCCCTATAGTTTGGCAAGGCAGCTGATTGGGATGGTTTGCACTTCGGCCGGAGTGCGAGCAAGAGACTAAGGCGCCGCCTCGGCCTTCCGAGTACCGCGCCGAGCCAGTGGTCGCGAGTGTGGGAAGGTCTTTCGTCAACATGGCTTGGTGTGCAAATGGGGGCTTTCAGTTCATGTCAAATGACACCGTTACTCTTTTTGGTGCATGGACTCCTTGACAACCATGACAAGGCTTCTCATTGAGCACCCCAGGAGCATTGACAGTGGCCCACATGACTCCGACTTTTGGTATGGAACCTCCTCAAAAGTGGTTGGTGGGCAACCAATGTACATGATGTCCACCCCCAAGTCCCCAACCAGGAATCATGCTCACACCTGTTGGAGGTTTGAATCTCAGAACAGGATGCCCGATTTGGACCCTGTGACCGTTGCCATGTTGGATTGGACAGCCTTATGTCCGTTTTTGACCTGCACCGGCCGAGTACTCCCCGTACGCCTTCCCCTGCCCAGACTCCGGCACAGGAGGAGGGGGGTGCTGGGTGCTGGATTTCCCAGGTTTTGAGTCTGCAGGATGGGAATGTTGGGTCTTTTCTCAACTTCTTTGTTCCACCTTCAGCATTCATCTCAGGTCTTGAGTCTACAGCTTCATCGCTTGTCACCCGTCGTCCCTTAAGGTTGCCTCGGAGGAGGATTCCTGACGGCAGAAGTACAGCTGGTATGACCCTCTTCAGTCTAAAAAGGGAACAACAAAAACGCAGCATATTCGATTGTTATAGAGCAATGGCCACTATGAACCCAGTCGTTTACTGTAGGTGTGTGTACCTTTTGCATTGGGGCCTAGTGAAAATTCCATGTCAGTTGGGATCTGAATATCGCCTGCTAATATTTTCGCATTCCGAGTCCCGGCCCGGTAGTTGTAGTGTGAGTTCCGATGCGATCCGAATGGAAGGAGCTTCGGGGCAAGATGGAGAAGCTGTTGCTGCAGTCCCACGGCGAGCTTCCCTTGGGCAGAGTGGAGGAGAAGCTGCGGAGGGTGGTGGACGGCGAGGCCGGCAAGAGGTCTGTGGCTTGAGCTGCGCTCGCAGCACCCGACTTCCCCCCTCCCCAGTGGCTGGGCTCAAGTCGTCAGAACCAAAAACCAACAGGTGAAACGGGCGGTCATGTGGGTGTTCTCAAAACCGTGCTCAAAGGGTTGCCTGGCTTTTCTTGAATGAACCAGCCAGGAGGGGGTTCATTTTGAGACAGAGGGACGAGAAGGGGGGATGAGCTCTCTACTTTTCAACCACAAATCCCGGGCGAGCCCTAAATTTCCACCATGGTTTCTTGAAGTCTTGATCGGAACCTGGCTGGCTTCATAGCAGGGGTTGATTTCAAGGGGTTCATATGTGGACGTATACGGCGAGAATTGGGAGTCAACCATTGGACGATCCTTCTTCTGGTGGACTCTTGCCTAAGATATGAACCCTGAAACTGCGTGGCCTCCTTTTTGGGGTTGTTTTTCCTTCACGGAATCTGTCTCAGGGGGCTTGCCTTCCTTTTTGATCTCCCCACACTTCGGGAAGCGTTGAAGGCCTCCCCCTTCGGCCCGAAGGCGCCAACCCAAACGGGCCCCCTGACTCGGCCCTTTGAAGCTCGAAGGCCACGTATTGCCCACCGCCACTTGGATGACTTGGGACCTGGGAAAAGGAGCAGTCGGGCTGCAAGGGATGCCTGCAAGAGCCGATTCCCGAAGCCCACTTCAGGTCGCTTGAAACGGGCGCATCGCAAGCAACCTCGGGTCTTCAAGGAGATGAAACCAATCGCTACAATTGTTAAAATGGGCTTTGGGTTTACCAATGGGATGCCCTTGAAAGCATCCCAAAGTCCCAGTGGAAGTTGAGCCTTGAAGAACAAACCGGAGAAGTCGAATTCTGCCAGGTCCTCTCCAGCTTCGCGGTGATTCCGAGTGCCCGGCATGCTTTGAAGCATTTTGATTCCGAGTGCACGGTCCGCACGGTACCCAGAGTTTACAAGAAGGTCTAGCAAAACCCTCCTTGGTCAATCCCAGGGCCGCCGATGGAGAGCCCTCCAATGCCATCGTTCGGCTGACCGGCAAGCAGGCCGACAGAAACGTAAGCGGCGCGCGAAGAAGGGCGGGGTCCCCTTTTGAATCACTCATGATAGGGGTGGTCCAAAATGGATGTCAGTCTTGCATTTGTTCTCCCTCAAAGAACAACAAAGAAGAAGAGACAGGGGCACCGAGCCTCACAAAAGGACACACGCAGGCGTGTGGCCTGTTTGTGGGGATCAAACACCCACACGCACGCACAATGGTTTGTTTCCCTGGGAAAAATGCCAAACTCGCGGGGAGTTTTGTCCTCTTCGCCAAGCGACATGGTAGGCATGCAGATTGCTGGAGGGGCCTAGCTTGCAGATGGCTGCCCTTGAGGAGAGGTGCGAAGGGAGCTGAGATCCATTCAAGACCCGATGCCATACCCAAGGTTCGGGTTTTCCCCGCCTTCAAGGGTATGTTATGAAAAAACGAGTGGACCCCTATGGGTTCACCCATTGAAATAGGCCGGGCATACCCAAGAAGAGGCCCTGGTGGTTTGGACGTTGCGTTCAACAGGAACTGGGGTTCAAATCCTCAAGCCACCAGTCCGAACCAATTGAGGGGTACAAAACGGGTACACTCCAAAAAGGATGCACCCCCACAAAGGCTGCAACCTAATGGTCCACTGATGGTAGAGCCGCAAGCCGGGCCGTAGAACCACTATGGGTTTTCGCATTCAAGCAACAACATTCAGAGTTTTGGGGTGGCTTGGGAGGCAAAGCGAAAAGAACGCCACTTGGGTCCAATCCCTTTTCTAAGGGACACCTTTTTTGGCCTCAGCCTATGTAAACCTTACATTTCGGCAAGGGGAGCCCGCTATCTGGTTCAACAGTCAACAGGTCAACCATGGGGTACAAACCAAAGAGTCGTTGTGTTCGATTGATTGCCTCGGGTCCATCAACCTTTAAAGGTTGATGTGTCCCTTCAAGAAACAAAACAAAACCGTTGCCCACAGTCGGTTGGGTTTGGATGAGGACAGCTACTTTGCACTGGGCGAGGAGGTCGGCAGCTGGAGGGTTTGGAGTTTGGAGGGTCCTTGTTTCGAGGGTCCCCAAACCACCGGGACTTAAGAGCCATAGCTCTTCCTTTTGGTCGCTTAGTTTGGTCAGAAATATATGGGTTCCATTTTTTGAGTTTTTAAATTTTACCAACCATCCACCAGGGGAACCCATCTATTCTCCCCAAAGGTCACCCGTGACAACCTCTACAAGCGGCCAGTGCTACAACGGTTAGACCTCCAACAAACTACCAGCAAGCACTATGTTGCCAGCAGCATAAGAGGTTTGTACGTGGTTTCTGTTTGGGGGCCGGGTGGCTTAGGGGTGCCGCCCAGGTCATGCAGGCGGGCTTGGACTTGGACAAGGAGGCGCGGGCTTGTGTTGAAAGGGAGGGTGTCGCACCCCTCATCTTAGTCTACTTTGGTGGGGATTGGGATGTTCACTGGGGTACGTGATTTTGACCCATGGCCATATGGGTAACTTGGTTCCCTTTGAGACTCGACCAGAAAAGACACGCCCAGAGGAGGAACGGGCACTGCGTTTGATGGCAGATTCCCCACCGCAAGGGGCGAACAATAGGCGACTTTTGCATGCCAACCGCCTTTTGCAGAGGTTCCCTATATCCTTTGGGTTGGTAGAAACATCTCCTTTCAGGCCAGCTCAGAGTGCATGTCCTTCTGGGGTGATGTTTAAAGAGGAAATATGGCTGTGGGTCAAATGACCGGTACCCAGAATGGAACCCTGCTAAGTGGAAAAGTAAACTCAAAACCTGCGGTCCCCGGGTGGTTTAATTTTGACCCGTACCCATATGGGGAACCTCGGGCTGGCAGGGCACCGGACCTGACGTCGCGAGGAAAAGTTTCGGGATCTCTTCGATGACCTGCTGGCGAAGCGAGAGGCGACCTGTCAGAAGACGTTCCAATCGTGAGAAGAATGTTTGGGTGCATGCAACCTAGGCCTTTAGGAAGTTTCTTCATCTAAGTTGTGCTCTTGCCATTAATTATTAATAACGGGGGTTTGAACCCTAGGGTTTTTTAGGAAGATGCAGAGGGAGGGTGTAACGCTATCCCTGGGCACCCGGTTGATGAACCAACCCTTGGTTGATTAGTCTTGATGAATGAGCCCAGATTGATGAATCGGGAGTCCCATTTAACAGAGCATGACTCCAAAGGCTCAACACGTCCACCAGGTTGATCAATGTCTACATTACCTGTGAACCGAACCCCAGAAAAGAGTCCCCCCCCACTTGTCCGCCAGATTTGCTACGGCACCTTCGAAGGGGCCCACTCCTTGCGTCGATGCGCAGGACGTGCGAAGGGCCGCGCAGAGGACTGCGCTGTCTGGAGATGAGCCGACATCGGGGCCTCACAAAAGGGATGCCCGCGAGGAGCACGAGAGCGTACGTGCCACGCAGCCGAAAAGCCAGAAGGACCGACTTCAAGCGAACCTGTGAGGAGTTCTCCAAAATCTGCTTTTGGGAGTGATTTTCCTTTGGAGGGTGAGCTTGAGGAATAACTAAAATGGACCCAGTGTAACGCTGATTGGGCGAGTGAAGTACACAGGTGCAGCATGCTCTGCCAGGAGCCACCGGGAGTTGCCGCCCATGACGGAAGATGAGATATGGTCTCAGCATCGCGTGCTGAAGAGCTGAGCCGGGGCTGTTGGTTTGAACCATAAAGCCACTAGTGGGCATCCGGGATGAATAGGCTCCTGGTTGACTACTTGGGGGTTGTCCCATTCAAGAGGGATCCCAAAATCCGGGTCTGCATTGTCGTTCAACCAACCTTGTTTTGACGAACCTAAGGGGACCGAATCGGTCTGGTTGTTCATTCTTACACCCCATCATTCTCCCGATTCGCTTTGGCGCACGAGGATCAACTTGCTGCATGACGTTCGGCGAGTGATCAAGGCACACACACACACACATGCGAGTTGGCTTGGTTTTGATCTTACCAGGAGAACCCACAGTCGCTTTCTTTCGGCAGGGTCTTTGGGGAATTTTTAATTGGATAGGATCATCGCCATTGCCAGCGGAGCATTCTCCCAGGATGCTAGGAAATCCCATGTCGTATGTGCCTTGGTCAAAACATTTTTTTTTCCGTGGGTTTGGAAGGATCATGAACCCTCTACATCCTTTGACACCACCCAATAGGAGAACCCATGCAAGGAGTGTTGACCATGGCACATGAGCCGCGCTCCCATCCGTTGGGCTCGTTCACGGCAGGGGACATGGCCTTGCTTGGAGTTGGTACCTTGTTCTGGGCGTTTTTGAAAAACGCAGCATTGGTGTGTCGGATAATTGGCATATGTTCCCTTTAGGTTCCCTTTGAACCCATCCAAAGCCATCCGTTGCGAGGTTCCCCTGCCGATCCGGCCAGGCGTGGTCCGGTCAGTGGATTCCTTTGCGCCGGCCTGAGGCCATCAAGAGACAAAGGTTCGGGTCTCCAACAGTATGTCATATCTTCCAGACCACATATGAAACATCTGAAAACATCTGTTGCTTTCTGTCCCAGATGTGGGCCCAAGGTTGCCGGTTCTGGGTCGATTGAATGGTTTTGACTTGGAGTTCATGTCCAAGGGCGCCTGAAGAAAATGAACGGACCACCCAGCTTCAGGGTCCACAGGCTGTCGAGCCAAAACCTCGGCTCCCAGGTTGGGACGCTCGAAATATGGGGAACGTATCAGCTTACCCTGATTCGATTGGACTGGTGTTTTGAAGCCTTGCTCCTTGTAGAGAATCCCACCCCCAACTGCCCAAGCCACCAATCCGAACCAGCAAGTAAGGGAAAGCTGAATTGGGTCTGTCTCTTTCATATGCTCGCTTTGGATTGAAAGTGAGCGGATCCCACAGCTACCAGGTTTTGACCAGGGCGCCTCCAAAGTGGACGAACTGCCCTCCCTGTTCATTCTTGAGAGCCCTAGGATGCGTTTAAGCCCCGCTGGATTCAAAAAGACTCACAACCCATAAAATGATATTCAATACCACTCAACATATGGGTGAGTCTTTTTCAGCGGCACTCCTTTTGTTGTGTGTTTTTTTTCTCGGGCCTGAGAAGCGACACGCCCATATTGTCATTGTTTGGCTCTCATTTCAAGCTGGACGGAGCTTTGGGTCCGTTTTGGCTCAGGTCTCAGCTGCTGGAAGATGCCAAGATCAGGAGGCCCATCGGTTCCGCCGGCCGACGATTTGCCCTGAAGGGAAGGACTCCCCTGCGGGGCAAAGGAGATCGCTGCCCAGCTTGACGCCTTGTGCGCAAAATCATTCCAAGTCGAAACCATCTGGAGCCTTGGAAGGAGGCTCTCTGACCTGGCGGCTCAATTGGGCATCCAATGCACAACCCTTGAAGCAAAAAAGCAAAATAGGGGACCATGTTGAAGAGGAATTTCTTAGCACACAGTTGGTTCCTTAAAGTGGTCGCATTTGAGGGGTTCTTACTGAAAGAAATACTTTTGGGGGCGGTTGCCCGTACCCATTTAGAGGGCACGCTTGAGGGTGTCACTCACACTAATAGACGTCTAGGTCTCGCCAATCCCAATCTTGAAAAGGTCGTCTGCAGAAGTGGCTATTGCTTCTTCGGAAACCACCAGTAAATGTCCATGAGTTTTAGCAGGGAACATGTGCGACCCAACAAATCTTCGAGCCCCGCAGGGCTCGGTGGAAGCTTCCGGCCGGCTTGGCGCTTTGGGAATGGCTTTGCCTGCGCTTCGGCGACCAGCTCACCACAGTGCCCTGGCAGAAATCCAGTGACCCCTCACCGCGTGAACGCTGTGCTTATGGGAGTTGGTACAGTTGGTACCCTTTTCACCTCGGTTTTTATTGGGAGCCCAGAAGGAAAGCTACAATTGGCCGCCCCTATAAAAGGAGAAACGCGCGCAGTTTTGCCGGGATCTTCAGCTTGTCGTAGAGTCATTGTCCCTTACGCTTAATCAAAAGGAGACTGAACATCCCACTTTCCACCGGCTGCTCTGCGATTTCTTTGGCTGTTGGGCGCCACTCTTTGGGTTGTTAAAGAGACACCCAAAGTCAGGTGCCCCTTAGTTGCTTTGGATTGGTCTGGGGATTTGCATCCCAGACTTTTTGAAGCAGTAAGCTAACCTTTTAGAACATGACAATGCTCTTACTAACCAGAAGCAATCTTAGCCTTTTGCAATGAATCAAAGACCAAGGCATCCACTTTGGTCAACGGCGTCAAAGACGGGGCTGGTTGATCTTCGAAGCACTTCTTGGCCGATACAACTTTGGCATGCCATGTGTGTTTGCCCAAACAGGCAAGCCGCAATTCTTCGATGTCCCCGGTAGAGCAACTCCATCAAAAACCGGCACTCTCAACACAAAGGAAAGCACGCTCAGCGCCGGCTTTTCTGGCACTTGCCCAACCAAGTGGCACGTGACTCCAGGTCAACGAGTCATCGGACATGCTGCTACAGCTGACAGATGTCGGGAGCTCAGCTTCCAGTTTAGAGTGGTATGAGAACGCTGCAGTATCTTTTGTGGCAAAGAGCGGTATCTTGCTTCAAGCGGAGCAGACCAACAGATATGTTTTCTGCAAAGGGTTGCGGAAGCCGCCATGCAAGCACCAGACGTCTTACCGGTGCCGTGCAGGCAGTGCATCTGTTGGAACCAGGATAATTACTTGTTTAGAAGCCACAAAGAGACCTCAAACACAGCAGCCATGTGGTCCTGTCGGCTTATCATATTTTCTTAAGGAACCCATCCTAAGGCTGGTTTCCGTTTGGCTTCCCTTGAAAGCAACCACGCAACGGCTACGAACCCTTTGGGACTTCGGCCAGGACGGTTCTCCGGACCACTCTCTGAGTCTCGAGGAGCGCCGGCAAGAGGCGGGGGCCCGCATGGGGAAGGGCAAGTTCTTGATCGGACGCCCAGTAGGTATCTGTTGGATATTGACTTCTCATTTGCTTAAGCATATGGTGTTGTTTTCTTCCTGGTTTTAAAGGGAATCTATCAGTGATGGAACTTGTTTTCAGGGAACTTAAGCAAATGGAAGAGAAGGCCGCCCCCAGTGCCTTTCCCTTGTTTTTGGAACAAGCATGGATGTTTGTTGTTCCCCACATCTTTGTGTGGGGTTCTTACTTTTACCGCTCGTCGTCCGCGCGCCGCGTCTCCTTCTCCTCCTCCTCCCGCCCTCCCTCCTCATCACTGTCTCACTCACACTCACTCACGCTCACTCACACTCACTCACTCACACTCACTCACTCACACTCACACTCACACTCACTCACACTCACTCACTCACACTCACTCACACTCACTCACTCACTCACTCACGCTCACTCACACTCACTCACTCACACTCACTCTCATTCACTCACTCTCATTCACTCACTCACTCACTCACTCACTCGCTCACTCACTCACTCACACTCGCTGACTCACGGCAGCTGTCTAGAGGGACAGGATGTTGTCGCGCGCGCGGCGGGGGGTGTGCGAAATCGTGGCAGGCGCAGCACTTTGGCGATGCCGTTGCCGAAGTCGTGGCAGGCGCAGCATTCTGTGCATCTGGGTGTGTGTTTGTGTGGCAGGGGTAGCATTCGGCAGCTGTCTAGAGGGACAGGATGTTGTCGCGCGCGCGGCGGGGGGTGTGCGAAATCGTGGCAGGCGCAGCACTTTGGCGATGCCGTTGCCGAAGTCGTGGCAGGCGCAGCATTCTGTGCATCTGGGTGTGTGTTTGTGTGGCAGGGGTCGCATTCGGCAGCTGTCTAGAGGGACAGGATGTTGTCGCGCGCGCGGCGGGGGGTGTGCGAAATCGTGGCAGGCGCAGCACTTTGGCGATGCCGTTGCCGTGGCAGGCGCAGCACTCGATGGTTGCCGAAGTCGTGGCAGGCGCAGCATTCTGTGCATCTGGGTGTGTGTTTGTGTGGCAGGGGTCGCATTCGGCAGCTGTCTAGAGGGACAGGATGTTGTCGCGCGCGCGGCGGGGGGTGTGCGAAATCGTGGCAGGCGCAGCACTTTGGCGATGCCGTTGCCGAAGTCGTGGCAGGCGCAGCATTCTGTGCATCTGGGTGTGTGTTTGTGTGGCAGGGGTCGCATTCGGCAGCTGTCTAGAGGGACAGGATGTTGTCGCGCGCGCGGCGGGGGGTGTGCGAAATCGTGGCAGGCGCAGCACTTTGGCGATGCCGTTGCCGTGGCAGGCGCAGCACTCGTGGCAAGGCAGGCAGCATTCTGTGCATCTGGGTGTGTGTTTGTGTGGCAGGGGTCGCATTCGGCAGCTGTCTAGAGGGACAGGATGTTGTCGCGCGCGCGGCGGGGGGCGTGCGAAATCGTGGCAGGCGCAGCACTTTGGCGATGCCGTTGCCGAAGTCGTGGCAGGCGCAGCATTCTGTGCATCTGGGTGTGTGTTTGTGTGGCAGGGGTAGCATTCGGCAGCTGTCTAGAGGGACAGGATGTTGTCGCGCGCGCGGCGGGGGGCGTGCGAAATCGTGGCAGGCGCAGCACTTTGGCGATGCCGTTGCCTCTGTCGTGGCAGGCGCTGCATTCTGTGCATCTGGGTGTGGAGATGCCATTGCCGAAGTCGTGGCAGGCGCAGCATTCTGTGCATCTGGGTGTGTGTTTGTGTGGCAGGGCAGGCGCAGCATTCTGTGCATCTGGGTGTGCGTTTGTGTGGCAGGGGCAGCATTTGGCAGCTGTCTAAAAGGACAGGATGGCGTTGCGCGCTCGGCGGGGGGCGTGCGAAATCGTGGCAGGCGCGGCACTTTGGAGATGCCATTGCCGAAGTCGTGGCAGGCGCAGCATTCTGTGCGTCTGGGTGTGTGTTTGTGTGGCAGGGGCAGCATTTTGTCACTCATTCGCTCGCATTCATACTCACACTCACTCACACTTCTCGGATGTCTAAAGGGTCGTCTACAAGGCTTGTGTAAGTGCAGAGCTGTGAGTACATGAGGCAGGGTGCATTGTGAGGCAAGCTGTTGGATGTTGAGATTGGGCTCGCAGAAGCTTTGTGTCCAGACATTTGAACTCACATCCTTGGGAAAAACATAGCATGTGGGGTTATCCGGTCCTTTAATTTGGGATCGGAGCCCTCAGAGTTGTTGCAAAGGGCAACCTTCGTGCCGTGTCAAAGCAGCTGGCATTGGCCCCCTGGCTGTGTGCCAGGGTCATTTGACACCCCTCTTCTTTGGGGTTGGTAGGAACGGTTATCAGTACAGGGTCTGTTCTGCCATGAGCCTGCTCAAAGCCCGGGCAGGGCAGTCCTCTTGCCAGAAGCACAGACGTCGGCTCGATGCTGGCGCCTGTTCAGAGATTTCGAGAAAGATGAACATGATCTAACCCCCGGGCTCCATGTTCGTTGGCTAGTTGCAGCGGGAAGGCTGTGGTTGTCAAAACCAATGGGATCCCATTTTGGGGTAGGTGCACCACCCATTTTAGAAACCATTTTAGTGGGGATTGGGATGTTCACTGCTGGGGGTACGGGCTTTTGACCCATGGCCATATTTCCATATATATATATATATCATATTTCTGATTGATTGCCTTCAATCCAACAGGGTTTCCACTGCCCTAGCCAACATGGCACCTGTAGCTTGCAAATCAACCTAAGAGCCTGTCAAAACAAGGCACCTGTCCCTACCCTGTTTTTTTTTGTTTCTCCTGAACATCGATTTCCTCTTGAACGGACCATTTCCTCCAGGTGCCATGCGAGTGGACTGGACAAAGGTACCCCATGTTGGATCGGGTGACGGAAACTGAGCCGCCAGCTCTCGATGGCGGTCTTCGAGACACTGGCGGTGCTGCAGCTTGGGCTTTGACGTGGGGGTTTGACGGTTTGAGCGGACGAACAGGTTTAACAGGTGTTTTTTTCAGGCGTGCCTTTTCTTTGGGCCACAAGCCAAGTGGAGTTTTTTGTTGTGGCTCCCCCCTTTACAAGGGTGCAGGAAGGCGCTGAGTAATGAATCCCCCGATTCGGTTGGACAAAGCAACCAATTTGAACATGGACCGATTCGTATTTGGAGACCCCGTAAAAACGTCTTGAGGGATCTCCTCGGACCTCTTCCTTCAGGTGATGTGATACGGACCTCGAGCTGTTTTGAGTGCATGTGCCCGATCCTACGGCGTAAGTTAGAATAGCCCCACCATCAGGAAAGAAAGTCGTTTTCTATTTAGTAACCCCTTGTGCTTTCCGACCGGACCACTTCAAGAATGAACTTGGTTTCTCAATCAACAGTGTAAGCTTCGTGCCTCCGAACGGATTGCCTTTTCCTTGCACAATGCACTACACTGCATGCCGCATGATGAGCTCTACATCATGGACTAAATGACATGGGGCTGAACATCAGCCTTGATGCGTGGTGTACATCTTCCGGTTTGGCATCACCTACAAAACTATCTCTCAGTTTTCCCTTCAGTTTCCCTATATTGTTGCCCCAAAAAGATGCCAACTCCCAAACACATCACTTTCACCCCGTTTCGTTTGGGCTTGCAAACTCGGTTGCGATCCAATTGGCCACGGCTCAAACAGAAGGTACCCAAAGAGGCACCTGGGTTTTCTGGCAGGGCGACGAGAGTTTGCGTAACCCCAGCGGTCGCGTGTCGCGAGGCAGAGGGACTTCCCCGGAGGAGGGGGTCTCAGCCTGGATGACCTCCAGCGCATCCCAGCGCCAAGCTCGGCGGTTCGGCAGGGCGACATCCATGGCCGCGTGTCTTTTTTGGTTACCCTTGTCGGCCTTGGTTTTTAAGGGGATACCAACAGAGACCAAAAAAAGAAACGACAACTCTGCACCTTTTTGGGGTCCCCTATTTTGATACATATACGCAAGCAGAGGGTTCCCATCCGAAAGAACGGCCATGCGCTCGGCAAACGTGAGGCTGTGGCATGCGTCCTGGCTGCAGACGAGAGATCGATGGATTTGGTACGTCGGGCAGGTGGTTCGTAGCTCCAGTTGCAACCCGGACTTAGGAGAACTGCAATCTTGGCAAGTGGGTCATGTTCGAAAGCAGATGGCACAATTGCGATCCCCCTGTTTGCTTGTCATCCCTTTGCTTCCCATGTACACGTGATTGTGTCATCGGCTTTCCTGGTGCCATGCTTCGCTCACCCGCGCCGAGCCGACCATGGCGCGTTTGCAAGGCTTGCAGTTCGGGCGGGCAGCTTTGATGCAGGCGCCAAGAGTTCAGTTCGTTTGCATTCAGAATGTGGGGGGCTTGAAGTATGAGTTCTCCTTCGAAAAGTAGGTTTTTGGTTTTGACAAGGTTGGGACCCCCAAGAAGGGTGGCAACTCTCTTTGCTTTCCCTCTCGGACATGTTTGACACCCAAACAAGTGGAACAGGACCGACCAAAACCGCAACTTCGTTGTTTTTTTCTCCCCCATATAGAAAACTGTAGGGGTTCTAACTTCTAATAAAGAAGGGCCTGGTGACGGCCAGGTGTGTTTTTGCGAGATTGACGGCAGTGGGGATGGGTTCTTGTGCAGGTGCTACAATATTTTTGGGATGCTGTTTGGGGTGTTGGTTGAGGTGCTCTTCAACTGCGAAGCTCCATGGGCGCCGGGGGAGCCCCGCAGAGACCCCGCGAGGCCTTGAGCAAGATGAAGACCGTGGAGGTGTCCAACCCGCGAGGGCAGCTCATGGTGCGGCTGCGAACAGCCGGGGGGCTGAGGAACACGAGACACCAACGGTGGACAGACTGCATGCCCACTAGCCCTGCACTGCATGCCCTAGCACCCTGCCGTCAATCCCAACAAAAAGCACCCGCCTACACCAGCACCCCAAACTGCATGCCCCCTAGCACCCAGCCATCAATCTCGCAATTCGCTTTCCCGGAGCTCGGATTTTTTTTGTTTGTTGTTTGGACCAAGCGGGGGTGGGTTTTGGGGTACCTTTGGCCCGTACAACCATACAACCTCTGTACAACCGCTGTACAACCACTGTACAACGAATCACAATTGTGGGTTTGGATTTCTTTGAGCTTCCCGGGATGAAACACAGGCATGTCAACACTATACATTATACTATACATTTCTTTGTCTGGTTCTTGAAACCCAGGGATGGGTTTCAGTGGGGGGTTGGGCCTTGAGCAGCTCCGGTCTCAGGACCCCCAGGAGCGGCAGCTCAAGGAGGGCGAGGCGAAGCCGGAAGCGGCGACTTCCCACCGCGAAGTCCCAGGAGTGCGGTCGCGGGGAGCTGATGATTTGCAGCCGAGCGCGAGAGCGGTTTCTGATTTTTCTCCGGGGTACCGGTCATAGGATCCAACTCCGCCCTCACTCAGGGGAACCTCCAAAAGTGGCAGGCAGTTTCAAGTGGAAGGAGCGTACTGTGGATGGAGGAAATCCTTTTCGCACCACTTTCAAGCCATGGGAAAGCAGCTAAGCATCTGTTTGGTTGGAATTGACAGGGGAATCATCATTCTAGGACTTCTTAGGTGGTGCAGGATTTCGTCCAAACACAGTAGGATCCAACTCCACCCTGACTCCAGGAACCTCCACACGTGGCAGGCAGTTTCAAGTGGAAAGCGCCGGCAAATCGCAATCCAGTAGACTCTAAATGGCCTGTTTGAGCCACCTGAGAGGGGCTTGGATCCAACGAAGGCGTGTCTCAAACCCGAGTATGCTTTCAGGCAGTCGCCGTTGACCCTGGGTGGAGGGTCAGGGGCCACTTCTGTTGGTTGCGAAATCCGGGTTCAAACCCTCACGGCTTCACGCCTCAGATCCGAGCCACCAAGCCAAATCGATTGCGCGCCCAACGCCTCTATAAGTGGCCATAGTAAGGTGGTCCTGCCTGGATTGACAAGGAACCCGCCTCACAATGGTGGACAGAAATCCCTCCATGATGTCGGATTAAAGCTCACACCCATTTTGGTAGGAAAAAGTCACGTTGCTGCCAGGGCTGTTGGCTCAAGTGCCTCTCCGCGCAATATCCGGCGGCTTCCGCTTCAGTAAGCCGCTTGGCGGATGGCGTGCATGATTTGGGACAGCGAGGGTAGTAGCACCCTCTTGCCCGTTCAACAATCATGGAGGTTTTTATAAGACCAAAACCGTCCTGGTGACAAGGCCCCCAAACCTCCACTTCTGTTGCAGGGTAGCATACAGCGAGCATCGCTCCAGGCGATGGGCAGCGCAAGCGCAGAGACGGGCCCTCGAAGGCATGCCCATGGTCAAATGGCTGACCCCGTTGCTTGGGGCTTCGTGAGCATGGTGGGCATAGTCTCAAGACAACCCCATGGTAGTCAAGGTGGGAAATCCGGGAGAAATACAGGAGATGCTTGGGGAAGATAGGAAGGGCGGACGGGCCCCAAATGCAACAGCAAAAACTACGGGGCCAAGACAGTACAGTTTGCCCATGTCCTTCGAAGAACATTGCTGCTGGAATCTTGAGGTCAAAGATCTTATAGACTCTTACCCCTCAAAGCACTACTCCCAAGGTAGAGTGGGATGTATACCCTTTAAATGGCGTCTACATAGTGATTGTATCCCACTGTTTATTGGGTGGTTGTGGGTTTCCACTTTCTCTGGGGTGAGAGAGATCCTTTGCCAGGGATTACCTTTTCCTCACCAATGACGAGCCCCACGTGACGAGGAGGCGACACACAATGTGAGATCGGGTCCAATCATCCAGTTTGTGAGTTGGGCTCAGAACGGGCCGCAGAACCAAAGTTTCTGACCCCTAAGGCTGCCAAGAACTTGTCCTGGGTGGCTTCCTCCACTTTGGGGGGCATCACATGGGAACTTGCTTTAGTCAACAAGACCTAGGTACTCATTCTGCCCGGGCAATGAAACCTCTTGCGGGATCCCTGAACAGAATGGGAGGCTACGGCTCGAGCACATTTTGGGCCGTGGCCCGTGCTGGGCGTGGCTCAAATCAAGCTGCGCTGATCGCAGGGCGGAGATTCTGAAGCAGCATCCGCAGATCAAGAGTCCAGGGCCTAACACCGGTTCGGCCAATGAGCAAGCTTATGGGCTCAAAAATCAGTTGGACCCCTGGTGGTTGGTTTTCATTTGGTTTTCCTTTCAAATCTTTGCAGAAATCCATACATTTTGAGAAGCATCCACCTGAGGCTCGGTCGCAACACCCAGCTAGATTTGGCAACACGCATGGGGATTTTCCCCACAAACAAGTGACCACAACTGACGAGGTGTGAGTGACATTTGGGACAAGGTGTGAGTGACACTTGCCCTTAAAGAACCAACTTGTGCTACTTGGCTGACATTTGCATATGGCTCGTAGGTTGGTCGCTTACTCTGGCGCTTATACTGGTCCTCAGGCCCTTTCCTGGAAAGATGAATTCACGTTTTTTGAGTGGCTCAAAGATACTACGGCCAGACGTGGGATGTGGTTTCAAGGTTGGACACACCAACATGGTTTCGGTTTTCCCTTTAGTTTTCCGTTAAAACCACGAAAAGGAGGGAACCCCCAAAAGAAGACACGCCCGAATCCTGCATCAATATTTTAATACTTTGCAAGAAAGGCACAAGCAGCACTTGTGTGTTGTGCGGGAGGATTCCGAAGCCGATTTGGGGTTTCAAGCAGTTTTGCGGATGCACCAAAAGATGGGTGCCAAATCCAATATCAAGCCACAAACTGCCCGTCACGCTGCGACTCCCCATTCAGTTGGCAGCTCCAACTCCATGTTGAAGGTACTGGTTGAGATTTGGCGAAGTCTCGTTGGAAGCGGTTTGGCCTAGAGTTCGAACGTGCTGCGCTTTAAAGGCTTTGGTCAACTGGAAGCTTCCCCAGTTGCAGACATATCACACGGCATGCACCCGTTTGCACACGCTTGCACATGTGTTGAAGTGGTGGGAGTCACTTGCAACCCAAGTAACCATCCTGTCTGGAGGATTCGCCTGTTCCATTGTGACCCCGGAACAAGCGAGCTGAGGCTTGATGGGGCCAGAATGGCGGACCAAGTACATTGTGGCAGCCACAGTGCCAACCTCAGCATGTGGGGAGTGTGGTAGGCCACTGGCCACTGAAGTCCCCAAAAGCTCGCCTTGCCAGAGCTGCGGCCTGGAAAGATATCTAGCCCATGCGACAAGGAAAGCAAATTCCTGTCGATGTGCTCCAAAAAATCCTCTGTGAAACTTGGAAGAAAGTCTTTTGAATGCCCCCTGTTCCCTGTTGAGGTTAAACGATTGCTCTGAAAATCTCTGATCCTTTCCAGCTCTAGAACGGACCTGGCGATACCAGGAATGCCATGTTAATTTTGGAACGAGCTGTAGCCATAGCACCAGCTCGAACATGGAGGCCGTGAAGGCGGAATTTGCCAGCGCTGGTGTGGAACGACTGTCCCATGGAGCTCTTTGTGAGTTGCTGCAAAGGATTTGTGGCGGGGGTTTGAATCTCAAGGCCATCATCTATGCTTTCCTGGAAGAGCAAAAAGTGCATGGCAGCAACATCGAGGTGGCCTCCTTTATTCAGTGGCTATCAGTATATCCGGATAGTTCGATCAGATTGAGCGGGGAGACACAAGTAGTCACGCTGCCGGAAGCTGACGACGAGACTGCAGATAGGGTGGTGAGAAGGTTGGCACATCGCAGCATGACACTTCGCAACCTGCTGAACTTCATGCGGCGACTGCCTGAGGCAATGCCGCAGTATGACCCAAAGCGTACACGGACCGTGGATGTTGTTTGGTCTGTCATCGTGCCTGAAACTCAGGAGCGAGGTTGTGCCTACGCTGACCTTTTCAACGGAGACACAAGGCTGCCAGACAAGATGGTCTCCCACAACTGGGGAAACCTGTTCCTGCACTTGGTCGCGGCGGTGTTTGCTGATGCTCTTGGCATCCGGGATTTTTGGGAAATGAGTGCGCTACTTCAAGCGCCTGGTGGGCTAGATCTCTTAGAGGCAAAGTTGCAAGATGGAGGGCACTTGCAAAGCACTCGATGGTTGTGTATTTTCTGCGTGAACCAACATATTTCTATTTGCAACAAGTCTTGGGGTGGCCTGGATTCTGTGACTGGCATTCCCTACAGAGAATGCGCCTGCACTCTGCCAAAGGTGCATACAGGTTCAGGATGCGAGATGAACAAGTTTGATGACATGATCTCATTGTTCAAAAGGGAAAATCCGGGCTACATGCATGTTGCTGCCGCAGATGAGCAGCTCGGGCTGTTGTCACGGATCTGGGTCATTGCAGAGTTGGCAGAAGTCTTTCAGCAGAGCCTACCTTGTCGTTTCCTGCTTTACAAAACTGATTTGACGCAAGTGGAGAGCAGGACAACTCATTTGGATGTCCGGGCCGCCAAGGCTAGTCGCCCGGAGGATGTTGACATGATCTTGGCCAAGATTGAGGACAAGGACCACTTCAACCAGGTCACAAAAGCGGCGATACTCAGCATGTCCTTCAACGCGGCGGTGTACGGAATGCTGGAGCACTGCGAGTTCAAGCTTAACTTTGTAAGCATGAACCCGCGCAGCAGAAACGCGGTGCTGCGCCAACGCGCAGAGCTGAGCCGGGTGAAAGAGGTCATGGCCGAAGCAAAGAGCCCAGCTGATGTGCTCGATGCTTGGGCGTCTTTGCCTGAAGGCAGCACCAAGGAAGGCGTGGCGGCAGTGTATGAAGAAGTGATGAAGAAGGCGGCTCGGGAAGACCAAGCGTGGCTCTTCCAAGCTGCGGCGTTGGAAGGAGAAGTTGTGAAGAGCGAAGCAGCACTGAAACTGAGTGTAGAGATGATGTGGCTCTTCCGATCAATCGGATTCGGCCAAGGACCCGTGGAGGTTTCAGGACCCGCGACTGCTGAGATTATGGTTCGGCAAAGATCGCCGTACCTGAGTGCCTGCGTCGTGTCTGGGCCAGAGCGATCCAGTCTACTAAAGATGGTGGAGGAAGCGCATGGCCATATGTTGAAGCTTGAGACTGATCGAAATTTCTCTATGTGTTGCGAGCCCATGACTGGTCGCTGCGGTGCTTTCAGCTCGGCACTGCTGTTGCTGTGGTTTGTCGACCCCACTCTTGCAGAACCAAGCCTAACACTCCATGCCGGCCTTCGCGACGAAGTGCAGCGATACGAGGGCGAGTGGGCTGAAGCCTCCTCTCTCTCCGCTTTCCTTTGCGAGAGGATGTGCTCGAAAGTCGGGGTGCTGAATGAGTGCAACCGCGCATCCTACTCTCAGAAGGCTGTGGGTGGCCTGCTGGCGCTTTGGCTCGGCGTTCGAGACCTCGAAGACCGTGAAGTC